TGATTAATTATTCCACTATTTATATTTAGTTTTATATTGCTCATACTTCGAAGGCATACCCATTCAAATATTCAATTACCATAAATTTGCGACTATTACATTCTCTTGTAAGTACTTCAAATATAGCTTGACATGGTATACTTCATGATTAATCAGTCATTCATGGTGACAAAATAACAAATCCAAAGACTGCATAAAAAAATGAAAAGATGCGATTATACAAATAACAAGTTCATTCTAAAAATGCAAAAAAAAAAAAAAAAGACATGTGAGAATTTAGTTGCATGGAAAAAAATCAAGAAGCCAAGAGGAAAAAAAGAAAAAAAAATGAGAAAAGAAAGGAAGAGGGAAAAGTGTGTGCGCGCACACACAAAGAAAGATATAACAATAGGGGCATATTTGTCCAATGATTCTTAGAGTCGATAAAAAGGTATTAAATGTTGATAAACAAAATTGAATGGTGCAAAGACAGACAGAAATAATAGGGGGGAAGGGTGGTTGATTGGGAGGAGAAGTATACACTACAAGAAAATTGTTCATCAGTGACAACACAAAGTCATCACAGAACATACAAATATCGTCACAAATATCTTTTATTGACGACTTTTTGATCGTCACAAAGTCGTTACTAAATCCCCGTCAGTAAAAGTAAACAGTGACGACCTAAAATGTCGTCACTAAATAGTTCTCATTAGTGACGACTTTAAGTAGAGCATTTTTGACAAAAGATCAAGTCGTCAATAAAACACTTCCAGATTGTCGTCACTAATGACAACTATTTAGTGACGACCTGAAATGTCATCACTAAATAGTTGTCATTAGTGACAACAATCCGGAAGTGTTTTATTGACGAATTGACCTTTTGTCAAAAATGCTCTACTTAAGGTCGTCACTAAAAAGCACCGAAAACCATTGTATATAACTATTTTACTGACAACAATTGTCGTCACAAATTTAGCTTAGATTTAGTGACAGTCTCTGTTGTGACAAGGAGTTTTTATTTTCTATTTTGTGACAACTTTTTTTGTCATTAGATAATTTCTCAATAGCTTAATAGTCATAATTTGGCCTGTAATCATTGCTAAATCATTGATTTTAAACAAATCATACAAATAAATATGAACGATTGATAACCAAAAGTATTTGCATTAGATTACATGGTAATAATATAGCATTCTCAAATGCCAAATTCAAGTGTACATTACCCAACTAATGCCTACAAAAATAACATTTGTCCAAAATATCACTTGTACATAAGGTACATTTACAAAAGCAATCACAGTTTAAGAAATTGAAGAACATCAAAATGAACCACTCCATGAGCAAAAGGCAATTTTGTCTTCAACATTCTTCAACCATAACCATAGATATCTTCCAAAAGCTAGTATGAATAGCATTTATCTGTCATAAAAGAGTAAAAGAAGTAGGTAAGGGGAGGAGTACAATAATAAAGAACAAGTAATGAGACTTAGATTATTAAGACAAAAATTACAATTCATTAAGAACCTCATATAATTTGGACCCACATATTACAACACCAGCAAGAAGTTAGAAATCACAGTCCAATCTATACAAATACAACACTGCATAAGCTCAACTAAAGAGCTCTCTAAAACAGTTTTTTTTTTATTTTCTTTCTTCTTCTTTAAATAGCTCAACTTATTGAACAATTAAATTGGACTCCCACAGTAATTATTGTTTAATCTTTATGCTTTTGGTTGTTTATATATTAAAACACAGAAAGCAACTTATTGTACGAGGTGTGAATACAGGAGGTACTAGCCCTCTTTGATTTTAGGAGTTTATGCTTCATAAATCATGAAGGAAACGATATCTCTGTAGGATTAAACTGTGCAAAGAGAATGAGTTATTTGCCTCACAATGTGAAAGTGAAGGCCATCTAAACAGGTGAAACCAATCAAAGTTCACAAACGCCCCCTTTGCATTATATTCATTTCTTTCAAGTCACTACATAGGCAAAAAGAAGATTGCTATCCATGCATCGTCTGTCGCTTGTACTTGGAAATAATATAGTATTGCAGATGAACAATCAGATTTTTACCTCTCTATTGATTAACTAACAGCACTATGTACATGATACCTAGATATTTTCCAAAGAATAAGTTCAGATAACAATGATGCATAACATCAGCCCCAAAAAATGTTATTACACAACCATCAGCCCCATAACCATAACCATAAACTACACAACCACAACAAAAAATAGTCCACAATGATGGATAACATCAGCCCCAAAAAATGTTATTACCAGCTATTACCAAAAAACAGTCCACAATGACCACAAGTTACCAAAAACTACACATCAGCCATAACCATAACCATAAACTACACAACCATAACAAAAAACAGTCCACAATGATGCATAACATCAGCCCCAAAAAATGCTATTACCAGCTATTACCAAAAAACAGTCCACAGTGACCACAAGTTACCAAAAACTATAGATCAGCCATAACCATAACCATAAACTACACAACTATAACAAAAAATAGTCCACAATGATGCATAACATCAGCCCTAAAAAATACTATTACCAGCTATTACCAAAAAACAGTCTACAGTGACCACAAGTTACCCAAAAACAGATCACATCAGCCCCAAAAAATGCTATTATCAAAAACAGTCCACAATGATGCATAACATCAGCCCCAAAATCAATAAGTTAAAGGATCAGAATAGCAACAGTTCACATTAGTATTGTAATTCAATTATTCGAATGAGAAGGATGCATTACCAGCTATTACTACCAGATGCATTTCCATTGCCTTGGTTCTTGGACTGCAATTCTGCTCGAAAAGCCTTAAGGAGTTCCTGCATTTCAAGCTGTTGGTTTTGCATTTCAGCTTGTTGATTCTCAAGCCTTTGCATCAGCTGCTGTTGAGATTGGACTTGAACTTCCAATTCAACTGATCGTTTCTCAGCTTGTTCTGCCCTTTTCTTGAATTCTTCTATCTCTGCAAGTTTTTGTGTAATTAAACTAGCCTTGGAAGGGCCACGACCACGTACATATCTAGTTATATGCCCAGTCACCTCAATACAGATGTCTTCTTCGGTTCGATTTACACCACTAGATTGAGCTTCTAGCTGTAACTCCTTCATTTGGCTCTACAATCACAGGTTTGCTATTATTGATATATGCATAAGAGACATGAAGCATTGGTATTCAGTTGAAAGTGATATTTTTCTTACCAGTTTTTCAGCTGATGTCTCGTCAACCATAGCATTCTTCTTTCGACTAAAATGTGTCATGTTATAAAGTTCAATTGGTCCAACTGTCCTTCCCTCCTTAGCTTCCTATTAGCAAAACAGGTTAAATAACCCAACCACACATCATAAATGAACTACTTTACACGTTTACTGACCCGGTCATCCTTATGACGTAAAAATGATTTTGTTCCAATTGTATGGGCAGTTTGCTGCTTTGATCTGTTCAGCTTATTTCGCTCACTTAAGGCCTACAATTGTCAATTCTATCTCAGATCTAGATAAAAAAAAAAAGACATTGGCAAAGTATATAGCAAATTAACAAGTATGTGCTACACATACCTTGAATTCTGGACTACAATAGTAATCGCAAAGGTAAATCCAATTTGATTCTTCCACATATTCTGGTCGACGTGCAAGAGCTTCCTCCTTGGAGCCACATTTTTTGAATAGCATGTGAAAATTATAACGTCGACTTCTATACTGTGAATTTAATTGCTTAATTAAAGCTGGTTTCACATGCTCTCCTCCATCATAAGTGAAACTATTCTAAATTAAAAATAGAAGGACATATCAAAATCAGAAAAAATTAATGGACTAATTTAAATTGCGTCTAGAAAACCAAAAAATACTATGATAGCAGATTCTTACATTAGTAATTCTTAGCAGTTGATCTCTATCATCTTTAGGAAGCTTGCCCTATTTAGGCGCTTTCCACTTGCCATACTTTTGAATAACGCAGCTTACCTCTGAAATGTATCGCTGAGCACCTTCTCCAACTAGTCTTCCACTTATTTCAGAAACAGTAATGTTCACCTTTTTTCCAGCTTTCCTTTCATTTGATAGTGCAATATTACGCGTATATCCTCTTTTTCTTTTTAACGTCACTTGGTCTAGTAGATACAAAGTAAACAAGACCATAAGTGCTAACAATAGCAGCTATGGAAGTAATTAGTTAATTAGAGTAGAATTACACGTAAAAGTGACATACCTGAACCGTTTGACTCAAGGTCTTGCATACTTTCAGTTTCATTGCTTTCACAACCAATAGCTTGATTAGATCCAACATGCTGTAAAGTAGGAGTTCCATCAGTTTGCATCCCCAGCAGCTTCTTGTGATGTCATTCCATTGCCTGAAGATTTTGCAGCAATCTGTCTACTCTCAGCTTGTATACCTGAATTTCTTGTAGCATTTTCTCTAGCAGAGGATGCACTAGGAATCTATAATCCAGCAATTTAAGCCACCATTATACAGCGACATGTAAAAGTTGAATCAATTGCTTTGTCATAAACCAGTTTATCTAAATGGCAGATTGAAAAAAATAATAACTAACCTCAGATTCATCAAATAGACGGATCCTAGAAGACTTTTTTGTTAATACAGGTTCAGTGACATTGCTTGTCTTGGGAATTGCACTATTTTTTGGTTCACTAGCTTGCTACAATAACATAAGAATGCGCTTATCAATAGTAACTAGTTTAGGATGATAATTGCTAGTTTAGGAAAAAAGAAAATATCTGGAAATGACTCTATTGTTTCTTTACCTGATAGCATACATTTTCTTCAGTTTGCTCCACAATTCCTCGCCCAGCATCCCGACTTTGTCGTAAAGTAAATTTTCCCTTTTTCCCCGATCCAGCCATCTATCTACATAATCATATAACGCAAGCACCACCAAAATCGTAAACAACACAAGCAGCCATGACAACATATCATAAACTACAGAAAAAATACAAGAAAAAATTTGATTAAGAAATTCAATGAACAACATTGTTTAATCTGATTCATAGTCATCAATTTGTACAAATTGTTCATTTTCATCCTCAGAATTGAATTGTTGCTCAATTTCCTCATCATTATCAATAAAATTATCATCCAATTGCCTTGCACGGCTAGCTGACAATTCTATAAAAAACATAGCACCAGCCTCTATCCTTTCTTCAGTTTGCACATCTCCTCTCTTCAAACTGACCAACTCAAGATTTTCTTGTACACCAATCAAATCTTCATGATACTCTTCTTGGTAAGCCTCTTCGTTATCAACCAAATCATCTTCATGCTTCTCAGGAACATCATAAGATGAGCGTGGACTAACTAACTCTACAACATGCCAATTACCTCCAAGCTTCGTATCTTGAAGATAGAAAACTTGTTCAGCTTGGGATGCTAATATAAAAGGTTGGTCTGAGTACCATGTTTTTGACATGTTGATGCTAGTGATATTGCTCTGCTTGTCTACTTTGATTCCCGAATTATTTCTCAAGTCCCACCAATCACATTTAAACACAACTACTCGATTTTGAGTAAATGAGTATTCAACCTCAACTATATCAGTAATTATACCATAGAAGTATGTTTCTTTATCAGCATGCTCCCCCTTTACCATAACTCCACTATTTTGTGTCTTTCTTTCTCGTTCCCGAGCCTTAATGTGGAATCTAAATCCATTCACATTACAGCCAGCAAATGTATTGACTCGAAAATCAGGTCCTCTAGCCAAGGACAACAATTCATCAGTACATTCTCCACGTGCATGTGTATACATGACCTACATCAGCCATACCAGATTCTTTAATAGTTTACTAAAATAAAAAGGAAAGGAAATTGACAAGTTTTTAACATCTCTTCCAATACTTACACGTTCTTCAAACCACTTTGGAAACTCCGAGTCTAGCCTTTGTTGTACGCTCGATAAATTTTACTTTTCAAGAATTTGTCTATGCTCCCTAAATTTGTAGTAGTAGAAGTAGTTACATATTCTATCAAATGACTTTAATTACAAGCAATGAAGAACATATTATAGAACACGGCATATTTTTTCCCTGCATTTCCAGCTCATCTAGATAGAGAGTTCGAGAACAAATTTTTCGAAAAAAATTGCTGATCTCTACTAAAATCTGAGATACATCTTTTGACAGCATTCCTCTAGTTGCTAGTGGAAGAAGTCGTTGTATGAACACATAGTAGTCATGACTCTTCATTCCTAAAAGTTGACACTCCTTGGTCTTCACACACCGAGGAATGTTTGAAGCAAAGCCATCCGGGAAATTGATAGTGCTCAAAAACTGGCAGAAATTCTTTTTCTCTAGGCGTGATAAAGTGTAACATGCAGGTGGCATAACTTTAGATGCGCCACCTCCCAGTTGTAGATGCAACTCTTCCCTTAATCCCATTTCTTTTAAATCCTCCCTAGCCTGCCATGTGTCCTTAGTTCTCGAAGAGATATTCATTAATGTACCTCCCAAAGATTCACATACATTCTTGACAATGTGCATAATATCCAAATTATGTCTAATTTTATTGGTACTCCAATATGGAAGTTCAAAGAATATGCTCATCTTCTTCCAATTTGAACTGTTCTGCACGTGTTTTCTTTTCTTCTGTTGCAGCAAATCAGGTGCCTTGCCAAACTCAACTTGCTCAATACGAAGAAGTTGTTGGAGGACTTCCTCACCTGATAGGGTCCTAGGAGGCTGTCTATGTTCTCTTTCTCCATTAAATTGCTTTTTTTCTCGACGCCATTTATGATCAATAGGCAGAAAACGGCGATGTCCATGTAACAACATTTGTGACCATTATTAAGATATAGACTAGTCGTCTCATCTAAGCACACAGGACATGCCTTGTACCCTTTTGTACTCCATCCCGACAAATAGCCATATGCTGGAAAATCGTTTATTGTCCACAAAAGTGCTGCACGTAACATAAACTTCTCCTCCCTGAAGGCATCATATGTCTCCACACCAGTGGCAAATAACTCTTTTAACTCATCAACTAGTGGTCTAAAGAATATGTCAATGTCATTTCCAGGTGCTTTGGGACCAGGAATAATCATTGATAGGAAAAAAAATGGATCTTTTAAGCATTTCCAAGGAGGTAGATTGTAAGGAACAAGGATAACAGGCCATATACTGTATGAATTGCTCATGGTTCCAAAAGGATTAAAACCATCACTAGCAAGTCCTAGCCTCACATTTCTAGGATTTTCAGCGAAGGACTTGTGATTTCTATCAAAATCTTTCCAAGCTAATGAATCAGCAGGGTGTCGCATCATGTTCTCATTATCTACACGTCTCTCCTTATGCCACCTCATATCCCGAGCAATCTCTTTGTTCACAAATAGTCTTTGCAGCCTTGGTTGTAATGGAAAATAATGCAACACCTTTCTAGGTATTTTGGAATTTGGAGATTTATACCGCGGTGCTTTACATTTTTCATTTGGACAATGATCAAGGCCTTTATTTTCATTCCAAAAAAGTGCGCAATCATTTTCACAAACGTGGATCTTTTCACACTTCAGCCCCAACTCACGGATGAAATTTTTTACCTGGTAATATGAACTGGGAATCAAAGCTGTAGGAAATACTTGATGCAAGAACTTCAGCACCATATCAGTAGATTTACAAGTCCACCGATTCATTGTTTTCAAGTGGAGGATATGGACAATAAACAAGAGTTTTGAATACTTTTCACAGCCCGGGTATAGAGATTTTTCAGCCTCTGATAATAATCTGAGAAACCTACTTGCTTCTCCTTCTTTCTCGGTACAAGCACCCGTATCAAGTTCCGGTGAATGTCTCCAACTCTCATCAAAGTTAGCAACTCCTACATCATTTAACAGCTTCTCCATACTGTCAAAGTCACTATCGTTGTCATTTATTTCTATGTCATCATTCTCATCATCAGATTCAAACCCTTCGCCATGAAATATCCACCTAGTATAACTATCAACAATTCCTCGACACAAGTGATTGGCCATGACTTCCTTAGTTTGATCCTCAAAATTATTGCATACTTTGCAAGGACATGGCAGTTTACAATTAGGATCCTTGCCTAGAAAAGCAAACTTAATAAATTCATCAACTCCATCTAAATACTTGGGGTCTAGGTAGTTCTTAATAGACATCCAACTCCTATCCATATTGCTGCAGCCCTTTATCCTACCATAAAGAATATGACCGCCACATTATATAGAAAACAAATGCAATGTAATATGAACTAAATTTAAACTCCTCAAATACCAGCAATGGGATCCAAGGTGTATAACACATTTTTAGCAAAAATGAACCATCTCAAGTACAAATGCATTAGTAAGGCAACAAACTAAATAGAATCTGCAGCCACAGTATACATGCAAAAGTTTGGCAATCAAAAGATAAAGCCATAACATGAATAATCAATTTCATAGGCTGATTTTGCTAGCTAACAGCACACTACATGTTCAAAAAACATAGGATCAGGCATCATATATTTGTAAAGGGAAGATGCCCAACGTAGAAATAATAGAAGAGTAAAGCACAAATATAAATTTCAAGCCTGAATAATGGTATGAAGGAACAGTACCTGAAACTCAGACCACTCAATTGGTTTCCTTTTCCTACCAAGAACAGGAGCTATTTCCAATCTTAGCACCGCTCCAGATGCAGCAGTATGTGCCTTTACAAGAACCTCCTTATATCTGGTCTGAAATGCAACTGGGAGAAAACGTCCAGTGCTTTTGTCACCAACCCTGTTTATCAAGAATATCCCCAATTATATGGTAAGCCACTAATGTCTTGTATAATTAGTGGTAGGAATTAAGTCTTCAGATTTAATTCTAGAGAGAGAGAGAGAGAGCGAGACTAGGTGGTCGTCAGTATGACGTCCTTTGCCGGTTGGCAAGACTTTCAACCATACCGTCCACACTTCACGGTGGAGGACATAAAAAACAAAACCGTTATGGTAATGACCATCTCTAATTGTCCGTTCCTTTGTTTATTGTTCTCTAAATCAGACTCCAAAAAAAAAAAGACTCCAAAATCGAATTTCCAGAAAGAAAAGAAAGCCTACAAACTACTGGTTTTTGCAACACAACCTTTGCATTCATTTGGGTTGCTTTTACATACCCTGCCCAATGTCCAGAAAGAATAAATCGTCACAGTAAACAAGTAAACGGTTTTCAGTTATAGATGCCCCATAGTGACTTGTCGGTCGGTGGTTACGTTGTGCTTACGCTAAAATCTACCTCGATGTGAAAAATGAAAAGCCAAATTGAAGCCTCAACAATTTAAAGCTCCCCTGTGCTCCTCGACATAAATAGAGGGGCCAAAAGATTGGAAAAAAAAAGGAGAGAAGAAAATGTAGTAGCATGGCTAACAATTTGACAGACGTTTAAGACTCGAATAGACAGCTTCTCAAACCTGATCGATGCACCAATCAAGCGGACTCCTTTTCGAAATAACGGACATCCAACTCAACGACCAATCACGCTTGCAGAAATGAATTTGAAACAAATCAGCCATAGGTTAGATGAATCGAGTCGAGCGAGGGGAGTTCCGAGTACAACATAGCTATGATAGCATTTAATAATCAAGAGCTGCTAAAAGATTTTGGGCAGAAATTTGTAAAAAATATTGTAGAATATTAGGGATTTGGAAAAATTGGGGAAAATGTATAGGAGAGAGAAAAACGAACCTTTCCAATGAAAACCTTGCCCTTTAATGCTAGACAGCCATGGTGATGCTAGTGAGAAGCCAGAGAACGGATTTGTTGTGTGGGTGAAAGTATCAGGTGCTGTGCGGAAGCTCTGTTTTGTGCTCAGTGCAGAAGCTTGTTTGTTTCAGCTCGATGAAAGTTTGTGTTGCTCAAGTGTTTCGTTGCTTTAACTCAGACCAAGTATTCCGTTGCTTTTGTTTTCAGAATGTGTTCCGATGCTTTGGTCTCTGCTTTGCTTTGGATATTGTTTTTGTTGCGCGGCACTTTCACTATGATTTGATCAAAATTTTGACTTCACTCATTTTCCCTCCATTTGATACCAAAAATCATGTTTTTTTCTGGATTTGTAATATGGTTTGAACCATAGATTTTAATGCTATAGTATTATTCTTTATTTTTTAGTAAAAAATAAAAATTTTCATCAACATAGGTGGCAAAATTTGTTAATTTCATATAATTGAAAATGTACTTTTATAATTTGCTAATATTTTATACTAATTTCTTATAATTGCAACACTAAAGAACATCATGTAATTGAAAATAATTAAACTCAAATTATATGGTTATAACATAGTTTCAATAAAAATAATCATTTTCCCAACATTTGAGACCAATCATCATGCTTTTTTTTTTTAATTTGGTTTGAAGTATAGATTTTATTGCTATAGTACTATTCTTTATTTTTTAGTACAAAAACACAAATTTTCATCAATATAGGTGGCAAAATTTGTTAATTACATATAAGTGAAAATATACTTTTATAATTTGCAAATATTTTAGCCCTGCAATTTTTTATAATTGCAGCACTAAAGTACATCATTAATTGAAAATAACGAAAGTCAAATTTTATGGTTATAACAGACTTTCATTAAAAATAATCAAATGCTATTAATAAGACATTATTGTTAAGTCAAAATCAAAGAAAATTTAGTGATGACATAATGTTATCACTAATTTATTCAAGATTATAATGACAAGAAAAGTCGTCACTAATTAAATTGTTAGTTTTTAATATTGTCAATTGCTAGTTTTTAATACTTTTGTGAAAATATTGATAATGGTTGAGAAAATTTTGTTACATTACTGCAAGTGATAAATGTACTTTTGTTCTTTTTCAAACATTTATTTTAATGTTTAAATTTGTTTAAAACTATTGTACTAGTATAGATTTGCAAGACAAAACTTAAGTTCTCAATAGTTAAAAAATTCATTACAGAGAAAACACAAAGTAGTAGTTGCAAAATGTGTATAAATTACAGATATTTTAATGTGTATAAATTACAATTTATTTTAATGTTTAATTTTGTTTGAAACTATTTTACTAGTATAGATTTGCAAGACATAGATTTATGGGTAATTTCTTTTTTGTTTTTTACTTTCACATATTTAATTTATGTTAAATACAAAACCTACCAGTTTCCCTTTCATAAAAATATTAGTGCAACACTTTTTGAATTTTACTTACAAACATTTATATATTTAACATAAATTAAATGATTCAGAGTGAAATGCCCATAAAGAGCAGAATATTTGTTCATGTAATGGAGGAAACCCACAAAGAGTTGGTACTTTATGGGCCATTTCTTTTTTTAAAAAAATTTAATTTATGTTGAAAAGATAACCTGCCAGTTTTCATTTTGTAAGAAATCAGTGTAACATTTTTTGAATTTTACTTACAAATATTTATAAATTTATCATAAATTATATGTTTGAGAGTAAAATACCCATAAAAAGTTGGTACTTTGAAAAGATAATGCTCATTTGCCCATAAACTACACTCCCTGAAGGTTATTTTGTTAATTACTTTGTAGTACTTTGTTATTCCTTTGCTAATACTACTTGGCATGTAGTACAAAGGATAAATCTGGTACAAATTTCTTATTCCATTGATAAAAAGACCTGCCTGCCTTATAACTATTGTAATGAAAGATATATCTTTAGAGTTTATAACAAATTATTACTTAAGTTTGAGAAAATTATAAAATATTTATGCATAGTTTATCAAGATACCATTCGCAATTTCCTAATAAAAAAATATGGGCTAAATTGTAAAAGCTAGGATGCCATAATAGAAATAATAAAATTGGTGTATTACATATGGGGGTTAAATTGTAAAAGTTAGAGTGCCATAGTAGAATTAATGAAATTGGTGAATTACATATGGGGTTAAATTACAAAAGTTAAGGAGTAATAATAGAATTAAAGAAATCGGTGTACTACATATGAGGCTAAATTGTAAAAGTTAAGGTATTATAATGGAATTAATGGAATTTTTTACAACATTTGGGGCTAAATCGCAAAAGTTAGGGTGGCACAGTAGAATTAATGAAAGTGACTTAGAAATAATTACTTTAAACAGTGACGATTAATTCTTGTCACTAAATCCGAATCGGTAAAGTGACAGTGACGATATTAGAAGTTATCACTATATAGATCATTTTAGTGACAACTTTTTCAAGATCGTCACTGAAGACTTAGTTGCTTTAAGCAATTATGACAACTTTCCTTGTCGTCACTAAACAACCACGTTTTGTGACGACTTTTGTCGTCACTAAAAAATGTTGTCACTAATGACCATATTTCTTGCAGTGTAGTTTGTGACGAAAATAACGGGTCGTCACTAAACATTTAGTTGCTTTGATGCAATTGTGACAACTTTAGGTATCGTGACTAAAGAAGCTCCTTTTGTGACGACTTATTGTCATCACTACAAAATGTTGTCACTAATAACTTTTTTTATTAGTGATCAGTGACAACAACAAAAAGTTGTCCGTAAATAGGCCAAGCAATAGTGATGATGTTCTTAATGTCGTCACTATTGTGTGTTCTAAACACTCCCGCGCTCTTGCTAAATCTTGGTGGGAATTTACTAGAGTTGTGACAAATGAGTTGGCTTCCATTAGAGGTTTGTGACGAGTTAGAAAGTCGTCAATAAAGGATCCACTTTTGTGACAACTTTTTTTCGTCACAGAGAAAAGTTGTCATTGATGACCAATTTTCTTGTAGTGATAATTCACCCAAAAGAATAAAAAGTTAGGAGCTTCAGAGTGAAAAATCAGGGAGGTTCTATATGAGCTACGGTTGATTGATTATAATAGAAGATTGTTATGACCCGATTCCAGAATTAAGAAAAGAATTGAGGTGGGGTTTAGGGAAGAGAGAAAAGTCAGAAATTAAGGAGAATGAGAAAGGCTTTTGATTTCATCTTTCCAAATCAATCAGTAGTACACGGAAGTAGCTTATTTATCCAGCTTCTAGTCACTTCCTATAACAGAATAACTACTTGCTACTCTAGTCGGTTGAGCTGTAACTTCTCCAACTATCTCTAGCATGTGGCTATGATATGAGAATACCGCCAAAATATAGCATTAATGGATTTATTATACAAGCCATAACATTGGCCCCCCTTAAGAATCCTAGTCCCTAGGATTAAATCTGGGAATTGTC